ATCCTTAGCAAACTAACCCAGGAGCAGAAAACCAAATACTGCGTATTCTCACTCATAAGTGGGAGCTAAATGATAAGAACTTACGAACACCAAGAAGAAAACGTCAGACACTGAGGTCTACTTGAGAGGGGAGAGTGGGAGGAAGAAGAGGAGCAGAAAAGATAACTGTTGAGCACTGGGCTTGATAAGTGGGTGATTAAATAAAATGTTCAATAACCCATAATCCCAGCACTTTGGGAGGCCGAGGCCGGTGGATCACTTGAGGTCAGGAGTTTCAGACCAGCCTGGCCAGCGTGGAGAAACCCTGTCTCTACTAAAAATACAAAAATTAGCCAGGCATGGTGGCACACCCCTGTAGTCCCACTGCTTGGGAGGTTGAGGCAGGAGAATCGCTTGAACTCGGGAAGAAGAGGTTGCAGTGAGCCGAGATTGTGCCACTGCACTCCAGCCTGGGCGACAGAGCAAGACTGTTTCAAACAAGAAAAAAAACAGGTACAACAACCTCCCATGACATGTATGTACTTATATAACAAACCTTCACGTGTACCTTGAAACCTAAAGTAAAAGTAAAAAAAAATATATCATATCCGTAATGGCCTTAGAGTAGGCTCAGACCCGGGGACAGAGCTAAGTAAATGAAGGCTTTTGTTTGTTTTTGAAGGCATTGTTCGCCACTGAGTCCCAGTGCACAGAACAGTGCCTGGCACCTAAAGGATACTCAGTAAATTCTTGAAGAATGAATAAATCAATGTATGGATGACATCCTAAGAGTTATAAGGATAACAGTGTATGATGTCATATCCTAACTGTATATTTCAATCTATTTACCTGTACTTGTTTTTTTATTCTTCCCAAATGGAATATCCTAACAATATTTCTTAATTATATTAATCCTCAACTCCAAGTCCATGCTCCAAATTTTTCAAAAAGATTTGTTCCATCAGTGCAATTTACATCAATATGTTCCTTCTCTGACATCACTTAGGACAGATCCTGATTAATGAAAAATGATAGAACAAGAAAATCATATGACTGACTTCGGATGGCAAGGAGGACCGTTTATTTGTACAGCAGAGGCAGTATCTATTAAGCTTCTTCAACATAGTAGTCTTGTGACTAATAACCAGTGCCTGTAAACTCACCTGGTGTTTGCCACTGTCTTCCTCTTAGAGTTTCCTTTGCTGGTACATCAGTTGCGGGGTACATGAACTGGCCAAATCAGTTTTAACTGACACCTGAATCCTGTGGAAGTCATTCCAAATGCCTTGCTTGTTCAGTTAACATAAATCTGCCCAGGCTTTGAAGATAAATGCATTTGCTTTCTGATGAGATAGGAAAAGAATATTTAAGTTGTCACAATTCTATTTTAGACCCTGAAGGACTAGGAAATGATGCAGTCATCATGCAATGAGAGGTGAAGAGGACAGGATACATTTCCAAGAACCATCTAATAGACAGAAAATTGGCCCTAGAATCAAATAGTCTGAGTTCAAATCCTGCCTTTGTTTCTTACAAACTCTGTGTTCTTGAGAAAATTGTTTAATCTTTCTGAAACTTAGATATTTTCCTTTGAAAATGGGAACAATAGTTGGCGAACTTACCATACAAGGATGTTCTAAGGATCAAATGACTTACTTTGTATGAAATGGCTTATTGAGCTATAAAGAGCTTTATAAACTTAAGTGAAATATGCCTAGCTCTTGTGCCCAGCTGCTGTAGTCTTACCAGCTATGGCTCCCTGTGCTTAGGCAATGACTGTCAGTGTGGTTAGTGCTACAACAGACCTTAAAGCTGATGAATTCATTTAATAGGGCTCTCGTAACAAAGTGCCACAACTGAGTGACTTAAACAACAGAAATTTATTGTCTCAAAGTTCTGAAGGGGAGAAGTCCAAGATCAAGGTGTTTGCAGCCTTGGCTCCTTCTGAGAGCTTCGAAAGGAACCTGCTTCATGCCTCTCCCCTGGCTTCTGATGGCTTGCTGGCAATCTTTGGTGTTGCTTGGCTTCTTGAAGCATCACCCTGATCTCTGCTCTCATCTTCACGTGCTATTATTCCTGCATGTGTTTCTATGTCCAAATTTCCCCTTTTTTTATAAGAACACCAGTCACAATGGGGATGGGACCACTCTAATGACCTTGGGAAACAACTCAATTCCAAATACGGTGATGCTCTGAGGTTCTTGAGTTAAAATGTCAACGTATTAATTTTGTGGGGGACAAAATTTGACCCATAACAAGGATGTGCCCAGAATCTCTTGCCTAATCTGATTACACAGAGGCAAAGGTTGTTTCTGGGTTAACCTACCTCATCTTTCCTGAGGGTATTATCTCTCTTCTAGCCCACTGCCAGTAGGCCTCTGTGACGCCTTCCCTTTGGTTCTCAGATATCTCTTCCAAAGTGGAATTAGATGGGAGTGGTCCGCCCTAGAGGGGTTGGAGATTTTTATCACTCATGTTGTTCAGAACTGCTGGTGCAAGGCAATTATAAAAAGCAGACTGACTTTTAGTTGGTTTTATTATTGGTGTTAAATTCTCTACAGACAATACATTGCTTTATTGCCAGCATCCAGGACAGATTGCTCTCACTGCCTTGCCCTTGATAAGCCATTGTCTGACCTGCCCCTAGAGATCTCAGCTCCCAGTGGGAACAGCACACATCATTTCCCAAGGATCTTCAATCCCTATGCAAATATAATTTCACCAAGCTCATTCACAAATGAGCAAACATGTCTAGATATGCTTGTTAAGAAAAAATTATTCAAAACTTGCATGAAGGCCAAGAGAATGCAGCACAGCTTCTCAAAGACAAGCTGGGGTACAATTTAACAAGCCCACCCAAGGATTACTGAACTGTCTTTGGGAGTGCATTGTTTATGACTCAGCTGTTTGTTGTTAATTAAGACTCCAATTCTGTGAAGTTACATGTTAACCTGCAGGTCTTGTCCAGAGATGAAAATAATTTTGTGCACTGTAAAAGATAACTCCTTAAGCCATTAACCTAGCACTCTAACTCTTTCTTCCTTAAATGTCTATAAAGTCCAGTTCCTTGAAATATTATTTTAATCAAATTTACAGTCTATGTGGGTCTGTCATTCATGAGTTAACACGTCTTCCTCGCCTGTCAAAATGCACCAATCAGCAGTAGGTTATGGCTCAAGCTGTGTCCCAATTTTTATAGAGTGTGGCTTATTTTCACTGTAATTCTCAGTGTTCCAAAGTCTGGTTGATAGCGACACTGATATTTCTTGTGTGGAAATTTTTTTTTAATATATATATTTTTTCTTTTGGTATCATGACTTGGATTTTTTTTTTTTTTTTTTTTTTTTTTTTTTTGAGGGGTGTTTTTTTTTTTCCTAGGCTGGAGGGGAGTGGCATGATCTCAGCTCACTGCAACCTCCCCCTCCCAGGTCCAAGAGATTCTCCTGCCTCAGCCTCCCGAGTAGGTGGGATTACAGATGCATGCCACTACGCCCTGCAATATTTTTTTGTATTTTTAGTAGAGATGGGGTTTCACCATGTTGGTAGGCTGGTCATGAACTACTGACCTCGTGATCCACCCGCCTGGGCCTCCCAAAGTGCTGGGATTGCAGACGTGAGCTGCCACACCTGGCCTGTGTGGAAATCATTTCTACCTGTTCTTCCCTTTTCATTCTTGCCCTTGTTAAAGGCTCCTCTACTCACTGCTACACATTTTTTTTTTCTCAATCTGAGAAAGAGCACTAGAAGGAGGAGGAGAAGTTTTCTTCATACATGTACAAGGAGCATTTAGAAGTTAACTTTTTTTTAATTGCATTTTAGGTTTTGGGGTACATGTGAAGAACATGCAAGGTTGTTAGAAGTTAACTTTTGAGTAGAAATGACTAGAAATTCAGTTGTACTATATACTTGCAGCACGAAACCTAATGCAGATGCCTGAACAGAGACGGGTTTATGAGCTCTCACTGGTTAAAAAATAAAAAAATAAAAAAACACTAGAAAAGATATGAACTGGGAGGGCTCTGTCACTGAAAATTCATTCTAAGACTTTTTCTAGGATTCCTAAGTATGCAACTTTTTTTTTTTTTCAAAACCTAACAAACAGGAGATTATGAGGAAGGATGGCAAATTCCCTGTTTTACTAAAATTAAAATTTCTTTTTAAAGCCCCGAAGTTGGTCATTGCTATGTGCATTTCCAGGTTTTGGTTATGTAAAAAGATGTTAAAATGGGCAAAGACCCTTATGCAATAGTTATCAGATATTTAATGGAGTTACAAAGCAGATCGCCTGCTTTTCAAAGAAGAGAATTAAAAGTCAATTACTCCCCTAACCTTTATCAGGAATGTAAAAGAGTCTAGATAGGTAGAAATGAAGGGAGTACTTATGACAAGGATTTCTTTGAAGAAAGCTCTGCTCTGAGTCCCACCCACCATCCCTTTCCCAAAAGGGGAGGGACAGGAATGTTCCTCAGAGAGCTTGTCTTATGTCCTCTGAACTGAGGGGACACAGTGGTTCTTGGGTGTAAAAGATTAGATTATTTAAAAAAAAATCAGTCCTTCTCTCCATCTCTATGGGCGTAGAGATGCTGTAATAACCTACCCTGGGCTAGCATCACTGACTCCATCTTAGCTGTAAACTCCAACCTAGCTTCCCCCTCCCGACCACAGCCCCTTTGGGTGATAACTGAGCCACACTGATGCTGTGCTATGTCACGCTGACTCTGGGCTTATCCTACCATAAAACCAATGTAACTGTTTCCTGCTCGGCAAGCACACCTGCTATTGTGTATAACTCTCTTTGAACCCCTCTTGGTGATGGTTTGGAAATACCCTTAGCAACCAACAATCCTGGGAACCTCCTCCCCACCAGGGTTACTAGCTAACTTGCCTGTTCTGCTTCTGTAAAATTCCGCTTCTGTAAAATTTAGCTAGGTACCCCCTCCCCTAGATAAATCAAGGTATAAAGGAAAATCAAGCCCCTTCCTCGGGGCAGAGAGAATTTTGAGCATTAGCCATCTCTTGGCCGCTGGCCAGTCAGTAAAGGACTCTTAATTTGGAACTCAGTGCGTGGCACATTCCTTCTAACTCGCTTGGTTATTACAATGCCATGTGACTTGATTTGCCAGTGGGATGGTAGTAGATGCAATTCAAGTAGGGGCCCAGAATGCGCTTTCAGGGTGAGTATGACCTCTGAGCTTGTGCCTCTGCCATTGTCATGAGAAGAACACGTCTAGCTGGACCGCTGGTTCCAAGGAGAATGACAGACTCTCAGAATAGATCTGCTGTTCCAACCAGCCGACAGGTATGAGAATAGTCTATTATTATTTTAGTCCACCGAGACTTGCTGGGGTGGGAGGTAGTTATTACGCAGCACCATTGTGGTCATAGCTGACGAATATTGTTGGCTAACTGCTTTGATGGCAGAAAAAAGGAGAGTTGCTATTTGCTGCACTGGAATCAGCCGTCACTCTGAGTTTATCCAGGCAAAGACACGCCGGAGTGATTCCTGTGGATCAGATGTGTGCTCTGTGCTGAAAAGAGACTTAGCATGGGAGCTAGTCTCTTTGTCAAGCATGGCTGACAGATTTGGCTGGGAAAGAGGCAATGGGCTCTTATTTGATTTAAACAGCTGATTACTCACATAGACAGCAAAAGCAAGAGTACCAGCCCTTTGGGTCTTTTGTTCCACAGGACAGCACCAGAACAAAAGGGGCAGGATGACTGCAACGTGAATGGTGGAACATCCTGTTGCTGAAGAGCAGATGCCATGCTGAAGCAAGCAGTTTTATAGCCTGCAGCTGCACCCTAAGTGGGAGTGAGGCAGAGAGCCTCCAGCCTTATTAGAATCCAGGAGGCAATAAGGAACTGTCTCCTGACAGCCTTTTAGGAAGATAGGGAGGCAAGTGAAAGATGGCCTTGTAGTAAGTAGCTCTTTCCACACTGTATATTATCATTAGTCTCCTGCTCACAAAAGTGCTTGAATGTACTGCTACCAGAGCATCTCCAGATTCCAAAATTGCAAGCAAATTTTCAAGTGCCAAGATGAAATCAACCGCAGTAGCAAAAATATGCTAGCTTCATTTATTATTACCCAGATTATCAAAGATCTTTTTTAAGGTGTAGCCACTGATGCAAGTAATCATGATACAGAAAAAAACACCACTTTGTGCAAAATTGTTTTGCCACTTTCAAAAAGCTTACTTATAAGGCTACTGTGAACAAAAGCCCTTCCAGATGAGAAATAAAAAATAACATCAAATTTTTGCAGAGACTCTCTGGTTGAGTTAGAACTTAATGAGAAAAATTTTACTGCTTTTGGGGAAAGCAATACAAATACAAATTTTAGTGAATTTGCTCATGCACCTTTATAGATATGGACAATACTTATTAAATGTTGAAGCAAAGCATGAATAATTCTATGGAAAGTGTTGGCTGTCCTGTTCATATTCTGCGTGAGCTGCTCACACAGCATCTGATGTTCTTTCTACTGACACTGAAGTAATTGTCATGAAATTCTTGTACTTTGGCATTTATATTGTTTGTGCAATTAAAGGATTTTTGTATTTGGCATTTGGTATTCTTCAATTCTCTTGCATTCCAAAGCCTATTGGATCTCTTTAACAAATGCAGTTGAGAGACTTCTTAGTTCATTTGAAACACTGACCTTATATTTTAATTCTGATTAAAAGGCCCCCAAATTTTAAGCAATCTATTGAATGAAAGCCTATTTTATTTTTTATTTCTTATCACTCGTAGTTTTCAATATCTCTTCAGCAATATGGTTATGCAAATTGAAAGAAAACTGAACAGTATTATTGCAGACTGTTTCTTGAAGAAAGCTGTGGAATGTGTTACAGAAAGAAATGATAGAAAATTTTTTATCCCTTTAAGTGTCATGGCTGTTCTTCAAAGGACAAATTTACTATGACCAGGAAAATAAATTCCAAACTGAAGTGGATAATTATTATATCACTTGTCATGACTCTTTTGTTATGGATGGATTTTATCCCTTGAAGAATTTAATTGTTTTATAGGGGTGTTACTAAATACTCTTTCAGCATATGTAGTGTTGAAGAAGAAAGGATTTAAAATTGACGACCATGCTTCCTTTTTTATGTTCCACCATTTAAAAATTGTTGATCAAGAGATTTAATATAATGCAGAAGTATGGGAAAGCAAGTTACGTCATGATAGATGGCATTATGTGTGGCAACAAGTAAAATTTAAAGAGCAATTTTTAGAGTTGTTAACTTTATGCTAGTATGTGTTCACTATATCAGCTCATAATGTTTGTATTGAGAGTGGCTTCTCATTAACGAATGTTCAATGAACCAAAGAACAGTATAAGTTGGATGTCACCCCTGTTGAAGAGATGCTACAATGTAATGGGAACACAGACTGTAACCGCAAGAAATTTAGTAAGGAAATTCTGTAAAACAAACGGCTGCTGGGGCGTCCAAATCATCAAGGAAATACAATTTTTAAGAGGCACGTCATTTAGATTTTTTTTTTTTTTTTTTTTGAGACGGAGTTTCACTCATGTTACCCAGGCTGGAGTGCAATGGCGCGATCTCGGCTCACCGCAACCTCCGCCTCCTGGGTTCAGGCAATTCTCCTGCCTCAACCTCCTGAGTAGCTGGGATTACAGGCATGCACCACCATGCCCAGCTAATTTTTTGTATTTTTAGTAGAGACGGGGTTTCACCATGTTGACCAGGATGGTCTCGATCCACCCGCCTGGGCCTCCCAAAGTGCTGGGATTACAGGCTTGAGCCACCGCGCCCGGCCGTCATTTAGATTTTTATCAGCAATTTCAGATAAACATCAGGTAATTTTTAGTATAATATTATCATGTAGCAGGAAAGGCCACAAAACCTCTCGAACACCAAACTGGGAAGGGGTGATTTATTCAGCCAGGAGCACCTGCGGCATATTTCCCTAATAGCCGAGCTCCCCAATAAGAAAATCCTTGCCCTTTTAAAGGCTTACAACTCTAGAAATTACATGTGAAAGGGTCTTGATCCATGAAGTAGGCGTGGGGTATGTGACTTAGGTGGGGGTGTGATGGTGTTTAAGTAAAAACAATGCCTTCTGGAAAGATTTTTCCATACTGCTTCTGCGATGTACAGGAGTGTGATTAAGGGTGGCGCCCGGGTCTGCCAGCCTTTACTTCTCCTATTGAAATGCAATGTAGAAGTCTAAGGGTAAGGGCTCGTAGAAACTTAAGAGGATTAGGGGCCTCCTTCCTCAATCATTTCTAATGCTTTTTGAAATTTCAATCTACAATGCATAAGCAATTCAAAAATAACTCAAATATACCTGAGTGTCTCATATTTTTATTTGTGTAATCTGCCATACCTAGCTGGGGGTCAAGTGAAAGGTGATCCAGGACCTTCCAAAGCTAATTTACTTAGGAACCAATCTTTCACACAAGCAAACCATGAACTAAAAAGGAAAATATCCATGGTAAATATAGGTTCCTCAGGTAGACCCTAGAGGCTGCCTAAAGCCAAGAGAAGAAATCCCACCACTAATTCAGCCCTGCATCAACAGCCTAACAGCTGGAAAGATGCACTTCTGTTATACAAATCCACTTGTTGTACAAACCTCTCAATACTTTGCAAGTTGTTATTAAAATGATAGTTTACATAAAAGTCACTTGTGGTTCTTGCCAGCTGTAGACAAAACTAACACTGACCCCTTGAAGATGCTTCCCTCAGAGGAGTTTGGTTTGTTGGAGCCGCGCAGAATGTGTAATCCATCTGCCCAAGGCCCGCCGGTCCCTGGGGGCGGCTAGAAGACTCTCCATTCCATTCTTAGTGTTTCTTAAGTAGCAGCAGCACTTCCATTAACATATTCCCTAGTTAGAAGGTAAACTTCATTCATACAAATATTCTCAGGAGTTTTTCTTTCTAAAACACTTCTTGTAATAGCCTCTCAAAAATTTTACATTTTCTGTCCTTGTTTTCTTTTTCTTTTGAGACCATGTCTCACTGTTGGGCTGGAGTGAAGTGGCTCACTGCAACCTCTGCCTCCCGGGTTCAAGCGATTTTCCTACCTCTCCGCCTCCTGAGTAGCTGGGGCTAATTTTTGTATTTTTAGTAGAGATGGGTTTCACATTATTGGCCAGGCTGGTCTTGAACTCCTAACCTCAGGTGATCCACCCGCCTTATCCTCCCAAAGTGCTGTGATGACAGGCAAGAGCCACCGTGCCCGGTCCCTTGTTTTCACTTTACACCTTTATACTGAGAAGCATGTTGCTGTATCCAGCCCTTTAAAAAAATTTTTTTTTTAATTTTTATGTTTTTGAGACAGAGTCTCTCTCTGTCACCCAGGCTGGAGAGCAGTGGTGCAATCTTGGCTCACTGCAACCTCCGCCTCCCAGGTTCAAGCGATTTTCCTGCTTCAGCCTCCTGAGTAGCTGGGACCACAGGTGGGTGCCACCACGCCTGGCTAATTTTTGTATTTTTAGTAGAGATGGGGTTTCACCATATTGGCTCTGCTGGTCTTGAACTCCTGACCTCGTCATCCACCTGCCTCAGCCTCCCAAAGTGCTGGGATTACAGGCGTAAGCCACCTCCCCTGGCCTATCCTCCAGCCCTTTTATAAGGGCTCTACTTCCATCTATGGTGGTGCGTGAATGTAATTAGCTAAATCTGAAGGCCATTCTTTTGCTTATAGGTTACCTTTAGGACAGGTGATGAGGAAAAGCAGCAGCAGGTGGGATTCCTGGCAGAACTAAGCCAGCACTCCAGGTAGCAACCAGGCTTCAACAATGGGCTGCTTATTGAGGAAGAATCTGAAATAGCACTAAGTAGGAGTCTAGAAGATGCCCTAGGAGCAACTACCAACCTGAATTCAGCTCCTTGAAGCATAATTCATGATACACTTCTACTAAAACAACAAGAAAACAATAGAAAGCAAGAAAAAGTGGATTTTTTTATGGTTTATAGATTTATGTTATGATAAGTTTGAATTCAAATTTTCACCATAAAGAAATGAGTCTTTTTAAATTGGTTGTCTCTTCTGAAAGAAAAGAGGTGGCTGGTGGAATGCCTTTCTCACAATATTGTTGTAAAAGATTTAACACACAGCAGGCCTCCAATAAATGTTATGTTTCCCTTCTTCATTTATTCATACTTTTATATAGCTATTCAATACACGCATATTTACTGAGCATCCAGTATGCATCTGGTAGGTGCTAAAGATACAAGGAAGAACAAAACAGAAGCAAACCCCCCAAACCCAAGATTTTTTCCCTTATGGCATTTAAATTAGAGGAGACAGACATTAATTAGACATGAAATAACTATAACTGTGACAGAGGGTACGTAGGGCACTTTATAAAGCTATACTTATTAGGGGCTTCAGGTAAGTTTTCCCTCTGGAAATTAGAATTGAGTGTAGATCCAAAGGCTAAGTAAGAGATCACTGGGACCAGCATGTATGAAGTTGGGAGGGAACTTAGGGCATTCTAGGGCAGGAAAAAGACCAGCAAGGATAGAACATTTTGGAAAGTATAAAGAAAAGCAGAGAGAGCTAGCATTCAAATTGATCTTATGTGCGAGACTGAAGTAGATGACATCACAAGTCGCCTGTTAGCCCTAAAATTCAGTGCATGTAACTTCACGTTCCCCACACTGGTGATTTGTGGACTGACTCAGTGCATAGCCATAGATTAGATTTTCTTTAATGGCCGTTCAATTCAATTATTCATTGAGCAAAGTAACCAGATCATAAACAATTATTTCAGTCTTCTTAATAACACATTAGCGTGATTACAGCAATAATTGGGAAAGAAGACCCAGTTAATTGGCTTAGGGGAAAATGGGTTTCCCCATATATTCAGGGCTTAATGTAACCTAATATGGTTTGTTTAGAATCTAGTTGGAGATGGAAAGATGTGTTCAGGACAAGCTAGTTTAGACTTTAAAATTATGTCTTTGTTTATGATCCTGTTGTACCGATCTCATGTTGACCTGACATGACCTGATATATTATGCATGGCTTCTGGTAGCCAAGGATATGTCCATATATCTGTCAGAGAACCTTCATCAGCA